ACTGAATGTACTTCGATCTCACACGCCTTCCAACAACTGCGAACGAGCAACTCGAAGAGCAGCCGCGGCCTCCCTAGTCCCATTCGCTTCTCGGTCTCATCGCCGACGCATTCGGGAATGCGCAGAGGCAGGGCGAAACCTTGCCGATGGGAGCATGCACGGTCCTCAGTTTTTCCGTATCTGACATCATCCCAAGCGACGTTTCGTTGCTCTTCCTGTGGCCTTCGTGTCATGACATTGAAATGAAACGACCCTTTATTAGCCTTGATTTGGCTCGTCAGCACGAACACAAAACAAAGCAAAATAAAACGTTGTCACAGTTCTACAGGATGCTGCTTCTCATCCTCCTCATGAGTAAGCTGGATTTGGTGGTTCTCACTTTTGGGTACATAAACAGTTTTCGAGTTTGGACCCCACCACCGATGCGGAGTATCTGCCATAGTATGATGAATTTGAGACAGATCGCTCTTTAGGTTTACATGGAGTGTGTCTCTCGTGAGTTCCATCCGGCTTAGTACTTTCTGCTTGTACTAGGAAGCAGGTCCTTCAGATACCGTAGCCAGGCGTTCGAGTGTCCTAGATACGAGACCGCATGCTTCCTTCGATAGAATTCCCCCATAGATTGGAAGTCCGTGAAGCAAAGCAGGAAAGATGGAAGCATCCATGAAGTCACGAATCGGGTCAAGGCTTCCAGTGGTGGATCGGATAAGTTACAATGCAAAGAATGACCTGAAGAATGCCCTCTTACATGGAATTCCTGCTTGAGATCGAAAGCTCAGCTTATCGTCGACGATGACACCAGGATATCTTGCTTCCTGAACCGGAGTGATCTTCAAGTCATTCGCTGTCAGTTTGGCGGTGAGGATTTGAAGCATTTCTGTCTCTCTTAAACCGGCCAGACCCGGCCAGACCTGGCCAGACCCGGCCAGACCCTGCCGGCGGCCGTACCGTACCAGGATCGAATTTTTCAAGATCCTTCTTCCGGTCGGGTCAGGTAGGGTCGATTTTAAGATTAAAATTTTTATCATTCTTCCGGTCTGAATCCATGGAAACTCCGGGTCGTTTAATTTTTGCTCGTGTCGGGTTGGGTCGAGCGGTGAAATTGGGTTGGAATTAGGGTTTCTGGTCGAGTGCGGGCCCATGACTTGAATCGGGCCTATCGGGTCTGGTAACGGAAAATCAGCCCAAGCAGGGCTCCACATCGTTGTCATCTTGACAAGACCTTGTTTTTTTCTTGCCAACTTTTTTCTTATCAAGCCCAACCCTAATTTTTACATTCTCTTCGGAGGAACGTAGAGTAGTTGTTATTCGAGCGAAGAGGAAGCCGGATAGAACTCCATTTGGATAGAACTCCATTTGTCGGACGCCTGTCTGACATGGCAATGGTGAGATGTTTTTACCATGTGAAACTGATCGGCTGATCTCCTTTAGATAACTATGGACGAGGCATAACAATCAGGATGGAATTTTCCTCTTTTCGTTTATTTATCAAGGAGAATGCGGACGGTCCACGGGGTTAAACATTTAGCTGTAGGCAAGCACGAAACATTGCATCATCTGAGCCCTTCGAGGATCAATGCCTTCCAGAATGGTGTGGAGAAGGACCGCAAGCCCATCGTTCGTCCATCTAGCTCGCTTGCAAGCGGATCGCCATTCATCAGAGCATGGCGATTCTTTTGCTTTAAGATATGAAAGGATATGGTATTGAAAGCCTTTGAGAATCGGGCAGGGGCTGCCAATAAGTCCAAGATCTTCATGCGCCATAACTGGACTCTTAGGGATTAGGGTGATTTTTGACTCTTCATGAAACGTGAAATGGATGTCGATCGAAGGCAAGTGTTACAAAAACGATCTATCCAGTGGGCCGAATGGCCAACTGGATAGATCGTTTTTCAGCCTCTTATGACATTGGGCTGAGAGAGAAGTGGAAGCTCCTCGGTGGATGCAGGCAGCGTTGGGTCATTATCAGCTTTTTCACTGCGAAGGAAGAATTTATTGAGTTCATCGGCGTAGAAGTCAGCAGTTGTTACTTTTTGGGGCAGTGCGGGACAGCCTAGAGGTGTGGTATTCAAACTGCGGCTCAGTTCATGATTTTGTGCGGCCCACAACAATGTCTCAAAAACTTTTTCAATCGGTGTTAAGATATGCAAGTAGTGCAGGAAGTACGCACTTACACTCCGAAGTTTGTGCATACATGTGTCGTCCTGCTGAACGTGCCTAAAATTTAGGGGATCCATATTCTACGAAGATAAATGTATTTACACTGCCAGCGAATGGTAATGGAAATGGTAATGAAATGGTAATGGAAAGTAAGAGAGTTAATAAGAGCTGATCGAAATGCGTCGTTCACAAACATCTACTCCCTCTACATCCGTAAAAAAATAAGGGTTCGTAAAATCTTACTCTGTAGGGCCGAAATTCCTCGAGCTGGACGTTCACTTCGCCTCTAAACTTGTGACGCGTATAAACGTAGTTTGTACCTTGCGGTCCATTCAAGGTGGACCAAGGTATCTGTGTCACTCTCATCTCAGAATGTTTGGGGACCACTGGACTTTAGCTTTCCCAATATTCCTTAGATCTTTTTCTCATTAGCAACTTTGTAAGGAGCTTACCCTTACGAAAAGATCCTATAGGATCCTAAAAGAGGTTTTTTGAAACATAAAAATCGTATAGGATTTTTATAGGTTTCATATTGGATTCTATGGGAATCCCATAATATTTTTAGGCTTCGAAAATCGTATAGGACCCTATAGGATTTTACGGTTAGGGTAGCGTTCAAATGCATTATTTCTTCGAGAATTTTGTCATTCCAGAGATAGAACAGGGCATAGTCACCTCGTACAAGAGCCTTTTTCTCTGCGCGCACGGGTGGTGCCGTCACTGTTCACACCCTTACCATTGATTTTCACTTCGATTAAATATTACAAGGATAGTCAAAACATAGCTTCATGTACGTCTAGTGAACAAAAACAGATTCACAATCTTTGGCTTCAAGAAGTACATCCCAATTTGTCGAAGCGAATTAGAATTGCAAACTCTGAAGATTTAGGTCTCGTACTTAATGAGGGATCGGAGAGTTTCGCCAATCTCTATTTGCAACTAGAGATGTGTTTTTAGTCCAAAGCCGGTAGAGAATTGCTCCTTGTCCAGTCGGAAAATGAACAGTGTTTTGTACTCGTCCAGTCAGCTGAAATGCGATAGAATGACGCTCTATTAATCTCCCCGGCAGCGGGGATATTAATAGAGTGTCAGCTAGCAACTTACTAGGAAATCTCGATGCNGGACTCTTAGGGATTAGGGTGATTTTTGACTCTTCATGAAACGTGAAATGGATGTCGATCGAAGGCAAGTGTTACAAAAACGATCTATCCAGTGGGCCGAATGGCCAACTGGATAGATCGTTTTTCAGCCTCTTATGACATTGGGCTGAGAGAGAAGTGGAAGCTCCTCGGTGGATGCAGGCAGCGTTGGGTCATTATCAGCTTTTTCACTGCGAAGGAAGAATTTATTGAGTTCATCGGCGTAGAAGTCAGCAGTTGTTACTTTTTGGGGCAGTGCGGGACAGCCTAGAGGTGTGGTATTCAAACTGCGGCTCAGTTCATGATTTTGTGCGGCCCACAACAATGTCTCAAAAACTTTTTCAATCGGTGTTAAGATATGCAAGTAGTGCAGGAAGTACGCACTTACACTCCGAAGTTTGTGCATACATGTGTCGTCCTGCTGAACGTGCCTAAAATTTAGGGGATCCATATTATACGAAGATAAATGTATTTACACTGCCAACGAATGGTAATGGAAATGGTAATGAAATGGTAATGGAAAGTAAGAGAGTTAATAAGAGCTGATCGAAATGCGTCCAAGTGTTTGTAGATGAGGGAGATGTAGGCATTTTTTTATTCCCAAGCATTTTAGAATGAGACATCCCGGCTTTAAGGAGCTCGACCTGCAAGTGAAGCGGAGATTTGAACACTGCGCATATTTGCAGGTTTGTACCTTGCGGTCCATTCAAGGTGGACCAAGGTATATGTGTCACTCTCATCTCAGAATGTTTGGGGACCACTGGACTTTAGATTTCCCAATATTCCTTAGATCTTTTTCTCATTAGCAACTTTGTAAGGAGCTAACCCTTACGAAAAGATCCTATAGGATCCTAAAAGAGGTTTTTTGAAACAAAAATCGTATAGGATTTTTATAGGTTTCATATTGGATTCTATGGGAATCCCATAATATTTTTAGGCTTCGAAAATCGTATAGGACCCTATAGGATTTCACGGTTAGGGTAGTCAAGTTTACGTAATAAAGAAGCTCTTAAAACAGTAAGGTCTCTATCTTGTCCCGTATCAGTGGAGCATGTTCTCGGAAAAAGAGACGCGCGTGCCCACCACGGCAGTGACAAGTGTGGGAATGGTAAGATTTTCACTTCGATTAAATATTACAAGGATAGTCAAAACATAGCTTCATGTACCAGATCACTTGTTTTTGTCTAAGTGTTAGAAACCGAAGTTCTTCATGTAGGGTTAAACAGCTTCGCTTAATCTTAACGTTTGAGACTTCTAAATCCAGAGCATGAATTACTCCCTAGCCTCTCAAAGGCCAATCTCTATTTGCAACTAGAGATGTGTTTTTAGTCCAAAGCCGGTAGAGAATTGCTCCTTGTCCAGTCGGAAAATGAACAGTGTTTTGTACTCGTCCAGTCAGCTGAAATGCGATAGAATGACGCTCTATTAATCTCCCCGGCAGCGGGGATATTAATAGAGTGTCAGCTAGCAACTTACTAGGAAATCTCGATGCCACGGATCCTCGACGTGTTGCAGCGGATGAATGGAAATCTAAAATGTGTGGCTGACGGAAAGGCTTGAATGCAGGCATTGACAAAGTTATTGGAGATTCTTTCATTTTGGACAATTTTATATAATAAAAAACAGTTTCTTCATTTTATCCATGAGTGCGATCAACTAATTCATTTTGTGGTGTCGACATGCTTGTTGAAAAATGTGACTTTATTCCTTGGCCCTGAGCCCCTTGAGAGCATTGAAGACAGCATCCACGATGAAAAGGATGCCGAGGATGACGCAGAAGGATCCGGAGGCCTTGACCATTCGCATTTCCTTCATTGGGAGGAATCCATAGATGCTGGACCTATCCTTGAGGAGCAAACTTCCCGTGACCAGGTAGAACAGGCCAGAAACTCCTCCATGTACAACCTCCTGAAGGGAAAATATGGAAAGTCCATTTGTCCAAAGTATGAAAGTACATCACTTTCATAGTTGATAGTCACATAAGGTTTCCACGTAATCTCTTTTGCACCAAGATCAAGAAAACCAACAATTTATGAGGAAAGGAATACTCTTCCTACTCCTGACTGATATTTCGACTCCAACATAAATCTTTCCTTAGAAACTTGCACTGAGCATGAACTGATTTTTTCCTCACATTTTTTTAACGTCACGTAAGTTAGTTCCAACGAAGCAGACGTATCTGCGATTCTTAGAAAAAAAAAGGAGAATGAATGGGAGATTCAAGTTTCTTCGGAGATGCCTCTCCCTTCCCGTTTTGTTCTTCTCGGAAGTGAACGAAATGAAAACCTGCATGAACCCGGAGTTAGCACTTTTTGCATTGATGCTTATTTATCCATTTATGATTAATGACTAGTAATGGGTACATATAAATTATTCATTCCTACCATTTGTTTATTCGTTGAAACCGTTTTATTACTTATTGATACCTATTGATTGTTCATTGACAAATTTTCACCTATCACCGCTATTTATTGAATAACAATTTATTATAACATCGGTTCATAAAAATAATAAAAAATGCCAGACCAACCAGAATAATTGAATTTTAATAGACTCCCGTCCATGTTCAATACGCAATTTGCCTGGAATCACAGTATCGCTTTTGCAAAAAGACATTTGATAGGCTCATGGAAACAGTGTAGGTTCGATTGTGAGAAGTGCAAATATTGCGAAAAATAAGCAAAGCAGATATACCTGAAATATAATTCTGGGGGAATTTAAAAAAATTCACCATGAACGTATTATAATTATTCCACCGTCTCTGGCACAATCAAACGCTGACTGGTTGGTGGAAACTGATCGAATCCGCCAGTGATCATACAAACTTGAAATTGTTTTTTTCTTTATCACATCTCCAAGCGTTATTCTCATCACAACTTGGAATATCGTTTGGAGAGACGTCGAAAATATATGGAGGTCCTTGTGTACCATGATTGCACCAGATTTGACCAATTACCATCATCCATACCCATCGAGAACAACCATCCCTTGCTGACGTCACCAGAACTTGATTGGTTCGAATTTGCAAGTAATTAGTGCCGTTCGGGGATCTTAGGCGCAGTCCTCTCTCCTCCACGCAATACTTTCTCGAAATATGTTTAAGCGGATTCATTAGGTTTTTTGGCACAGCCCATCAGATTTGGCGATTTTTTATTTGATTGAGTCAGATGTTGCATGTTAACTTGATGACGGATGGAACCGAAGGAGCAATGCGGAGGGACACGCTCTCCGTAACCGGCTGCTAAAATTTCCGAGATAACGGCAGGCGGCTGATTCGTCACCTGATTCAACACTCTGTGAGGAAGTCACACGACCGCTAGTCGGAAAACATCGCCATGTTTTTTTTGGGGAGAGACTGCGAGGTGGCTCAAAAAAAAAAAGAACCGTTTTAAAGAGGACATTTCTCCTATTCCAGGAAACCCGGCAACTCCATATCTGTGTCGGTCCGTATGAATCCCTAACCGGGACATTCAGTGAAAGTTGCAGGCAACGGCGGACGAACGAACCGTTCGCAGCTTCCTTCCGCGTCGCAGGAATGAAAAAGACGCGATCGCACGCAGGAAACTGTGTACCGAGGGCCAGGCCTTCACGGAATTCCTTCGCAACAGTTAGGGCCGCGCAGCTCGCTGATAGCTGAAGCATTTTCCCATTTGTAGGCGCATGGGTGCGGAACTGTCTGGGTTATTGGACGAAGCTGATTTGCGTGGAGAAACCGTTCTTCGGGAATATTTTAACCTTGAAAGAGTTCTCGGACAGAAAAATTTTCCTGTAGATATCGCCGTCTTCATCCGAACGACGCTATATTCGAAGAGTCTTTCACTGCAACTTTCGCATTAATTAGCCAATTTTTTATATATAAAAGTCGTGAAATTATCCTGGTTTGCTGGTCTCGGGGGTCTCACTTCAGATACTTTGTTTTTCGACCGTTGAACTCTGAAAATAAGTCCTTCGAAAATACGAGGTATTCCAGCGTCAGATGCGAGTGAATAGTCCCAGGCAACAAGACTATGTTCTCAATAGTTCCCGCATCCGTGCCGTATTCCGTATTGCCTGGTCGTTCCTGAAATTCAAAACTTGGGAGAATTTGAGACTCAGAAAGAGCGATGCGGCGTCACCCCAATTTGGAGTTGATTGAAAAATTATTTTGTCTATAAAGATAGTCCTCGTCTACGTTGGTGAACTTGTTTGACCACGACAAAACTCCGTTATAAAAGTCTACTGTCACCTTCTGGCTATTCTTTTGTATGCAAAGCCAAACAATGAGGCATCTCAAGGAGTCCTGGTACAGCCCTCGTGTTTCTCATCACAAATTCCATACTATACTCGCCTAACGTGCCATTTTAGGTTATATTTTAATATAAACAACGTTTATTATTTTGGATAAAGGCGAAGGGGGTAATTTTTTTCACTTTCCAAGTTTACAACTAGTGCGATCTCCCACTGGTTCACCGTCCCACTTCGCATTCCCGGTATGTCCCCCGAGACTCACCATTGGGCCAGAATTGTGGCCTAAGAGGAGAGCGAAGGGGAAGACGAGGGTGGAAAGGAAAAGCCCCGTGAGAGTCCCGATGACCACGAACAACCTGTTGTACGTCTGATTTACAGTGAAAGCTCGAGTGGCATAGGAATTTGAATCGCCGTAGGAATTTGAATCGCCGTAGGAATTTGAAGCACCGTAGGAATTTGAAGTATTGTAGGAATCTGGCACAAGTGCAGCCCGGTAGAGCCCGAGTGCCAGCAGGCCCAAAACCTGTGAGAAGACGCATCCATCGTTTTTCTTTTGTTCGTTCAGAATGGAAGGGGCAGAGAGGGAGAGAGACTCACGATTTCTACATATTTGAAGAAGGCTGGAGGTTTCGCTAGCGCTTTCACATCCATGTTCACTTTCACCCCTGAAATCCGCTCTTTCTCGATGTGTGAGACTTTATGTTCTCGCGGCTCTCTTTTTGTACGCTTTGTCGTTTCCGCCCGCGCATCGTATACTGAGATTTTTGTTTGTTTTACTCGGCATAATTTCCATATGTCCACATCCACGATGCGCGAAAAGATATGAATGGTTCCACATTTGCAATTTGCGGTACTTCCCTACTCATGCATTTCCGCTTTACTTTGGCTTAGGGCCTTAGGTCGTTCTGTACTGCACAAACGATTTTTTTTTTTTGGTTACACCCTACGGGAAGGACTTGACAAAGTTCAGGCAAATTAGCTCTTCAATTGAATTATTCATCCTTTCCTTCAGGAGTGAAACTGAAGCTCAAGAATCAATCGCCAGCTTCCGAGACCCATTCACTCCATCCATCCGACGCACTCGGAAAATGTCAGGATGAGCGAAGTTACTTTCTCATCAATGGAATCGCAGGCGGACATGCGGCGGGGGACCGGCGGAGGACCTGCGGGGGACCGGCGGGGGACCTGCGGGGGCTCGCCGGCAGTCTGCATCTTCATTTCACACATTTAACATTTTAACAAATTGACGGCGATGACGTACGTAATTTTAAGAGTCTAGCAACGAAATATTTCCATTTTTCTCGACGTAATGATTAGCAACGTGGATATCTAGCGCAGTAATATATTTCACACATTTAACATTTTAACAAATTGACGGCGATGACGTACGTAATTTTAAGAGTCTAGCAACGAAATATTTCCATTTTTCTCGACGTAATGATTAGCAACGTGGATATCTAGCGCAGTAATATCATACAACACCGACTTTGGAGGAGTCGACCGGATATTTCCATCCCCGAGGATCAAAAAGTATGATGGCGAAGTTAAAGGCGGGCAAGGCGACCGGCCCCGATGGGTTTTCCTTCCGCAAAAAGGGGAGCGATTTTTCTCAAAAAAGAGAGTAAAATAGCTAACTCCAATTTCACCCCCTTTTCACTCTGGGAAAGGAGTAAAATTGCTCTCCTCCTCCGTGAGGAAAAACGTTCCCATCAGAAAGTGATAGGTCAGTGTCATGTGTCATGCAAATACGAAAATTCTCATTTATACTGTGTCGCGTTCGCACAGGCGTTGACGCATTTCTAATTGTACTGATTACAGCACATGTCAGAGAGTGAACCACCTTTTATAGGTTCCGTGGAGTGTCCAGAATATCAGTCCCTTTTTATCTCATTCAATTGATATATGATTGACTGAAATTCACGGACCCTGTTTATTTTAGATCTTCTATGCGAATAAAACCATACGCGTTCCAAAAGGGTTCTCAATAGGAATATGAGTTTGTTTATGACCTGGACTCTGTGAATATGTCTTGAATATGCGGATAACAAATGATGAAGTGCCCGTGTTTATTGATTCCTATAATGAGACTAGGCGAGACATACGACAAGGTACTAAACAATCCTGCGAGTGACGATTCTAGGGAAAGAGGGAAGGGAACTTATGTGTGCTCTGCGAAAAGCGAGACCCTTACCTCCATCTAGTGGCCTGGAGAAGAACTTGAAGGTGTTCACTTCGATACGAGCGATGATGGAGCATTTGGTGAGTAATAAGAGAGTAAATTCGAAAAGCTCACGGTGTGCCCACTTTTTACTTCCTTACCTCCATCTAGTGGCCTGGAGAAGAACTTGAAGGTGTTCACTTCGATACGAGCGATGATGGAGCATTTGGTGAGTAATAAGAGAGTAAATTCGAAAAGCTCACGGTGTGTCCACTTTTTACTCCCCAAACGCTCGGAATTTTCGGAAGAGTGTAGGGAAGCCACCCGACCCCCCCTAGTTTACGTTCCGAATGGCAGATGACTCCCAGTAACCTCCGATATCACATTAATTATGACATCGTGATGCTTCGGAAAATGCAGAGTTTTCATACTCAAGAAGAAGGATATTTTTATGTGTATTTCCCCATCGGATACGGGGGAAAGGAAAAGCATCGCACCTTTTTCTTCCTGTTGGTAATGGAACTGCTCAGACCTGATGAACGCTTCATCGACATCGTCCAACTGTCCTGGTTCCCGGCGGCCCGCGCTTCTTGGACCAGTTAAAATGTAAAAGACAGTTAAAATGTAAAAGACAGTTAAAATGTAAAAGACAGTTAAAATGTAAAAGACAGTTAAAATGTAAAAGACAGTTAAAATGTAAAAGACGCAGGACTCGGTCGTTCTCCTCGAAAAACTTATTTGAGAAGAGAGAGGGGCGAGAACGCGTCGCGGTCCTTTCTGAAAGCGATTACAGGGAGGCTTTCAATGATCGCGTCAGTGAATTGTGTTGACAGCTCTTCCGTGATAGGGATGCACCAAATACTTTCGGATTAATAATGAAAGGTCACGAAATGGCAATTATATCTCATTTATTTTTCAGTGTTTCTAATGGAAAGGTGCCGTGTTTTGGATCACGAAGGCAGTTAAGGAAAACCCGAAGGAGACGGAAAATGTCTTCCCCGAACGGAAACCCGTTTCCGGAACTGAAAGGAAAGCTCCATTACTCGCTTTCGTCGGAGGGATCGATTCCAAAGTTTTATTTCGGAACTTTATGTTTATGTAAAAAAAAATAGGAGGCATGGTTTCCACTATGAATCTGACCCCCCTTTTCCGCCCATTAGACGGAAACCCCGTTTCCGATGCCTTAGTCGGAATTTCCTGAATATATATTTTTTTATTTTTTTTTTAGAGGATGGCGTAGCGGCTGCCCCTTCTCTGACTATCTTTAAGAAGAAAGTTGATGCTCCTATTAACAAGCAAAAATGCTCTTTGTATATACATTTATTAAGAGAGTAGGCTGAAATCAGAAGTGTCGCAATTTTTATGCAGTTCTTTAGAAGAGGTTTTCAGTCGTATAGTCGAGTCACTGGGAATATGTCGAGTTTGGCAGGTCACCTCATTAGAGGTCGTAAAATGTCAGCTAATTGGCAGCCCCCTCACCTGATCTCCAGCTTGGGAAAACAGGGTTGCCTCACGCAGTTTTTATTCACAAGAACAGCAGGAATGCTAAATGTCAGCAGGAATGGTAAGCCTCTCGGGAATAACACAGAGAAGCCACATGATGAATCTGCTTGCATGAGGCCTCGCATGAAGACTGCGAGAAAATACGAGGATCATTCGATAATTATTGGCAACACTGCAGCAGTGCAACGCTCCATATTGGAGTTGGCAGGAAACAGCCTGTGTGTGAAAGAGTGAATCACGCTACATGCATCAGTCTGTTTTTGCAAGTATACGCTCATAGTGCGGGCGGTCGCGGATATCACCAAAAGTGACGCTGCTAACGGCGTCAGACGTCTCCCAGAGGTGTGGCAGCGCGTCTGCGACAAGGCAGGAGATTATATCGAAGGCATGTAAAATTTCAGGTTTCTACAATAAATACTTTTTGATTAATTACAGTGTTGCCAATAATTATCGAATGATCCTCGTATATATGCTCAGCTTTGAAGGGAAGACCCATGTGGCATCTGTGTCAGAATTTCACAATGTCATATCTTTCACGGTAGGAGTTAATCCGCCGACAAAGACCGGGGAGACCCTAAATGACTCATTTCTCATTTCTTTTCTTCTACTGCCCATATTCCCAGTGACTCAACTATAACGCAGTAGACTCCTGGCCTTCCCGGAAGTCCTCCCAGGGCCTCCGGACCGTTTCCATAGTTCTGGGTCCACGACTCGAGATTCGCAAAAATTTCGCATCGTGATTCACTCAGCTTCGAGTGTGCGTGGACGCGGAGAGACTCACGATTTCCTTCGAGGCGGGCTGGGGCCGTTTCTCTCTCTCGATTCGAATAACTCAACAATTCGAATGACTCTCGCCCAGATCTGAGAACTGAGCTTTTTCAGCTTCGGCTTATCGCTCGCTGGTGAAACGCGTATGTGACACTTTTCCCGCGTATTCATCTGTTTTTTTTTTATGTCTCATATATTCCCAAGGTACTGTTAATTTATGGGTCAAGATATGTAAAGTACGGCCTCCATCACCCATCCAGGCGAGAAGTCCATCACCGAGATCGGAAGGGAGGTGGAGCGGGCGCCGATGAATCACTTCCACTGTGACGTCCGATACGCGATCGCCGTGCGGACGTCGCACCGTCCAAGCGTCACTTCTGACGCTCGGTGCCAGCCGCGTCGACGCGCTTTTTGAAAAACTAAGCACAAGCTAAGCAGCATATACTGATTTATGCCAATGAATTGTTTCATTAGGTTCATGTAATATAGTTGAATGGCTCATGTGAATATGTCAAATATATACAGCGTGATTCAGAAGTGGCTTTACAACTTCCGTCCCTTACAAAAAGTTTCCCCGTAGGTGAAATTGGGACAGCGAAACTGAGGTAAAAAAAAAAACTGGGTTTCCCCAGTCTCTCAACCTGTCAGAAGACCCTTCAGGTAAAGGTTAGGGGAAAAAGCGGTAAAATTCGGACGAACGAAAGGATAAAGTTTTGTATATAACTTCATGAGCCTTCGTCACAGCGCAACGAAAGTGGTATCGAAACAAATATATATACTTCAAGTATTATTACGAACAATTGCCACAATTGAATGTGACTACCAGTAATGACGCGGCAGATATCCCGGCGATACTCAATCTCATCACATACCCGTTGCAGTATGCCTGGCGAAACTCTGGAATTGGCCTCAATAATCCTTTACTTCAGTTCTGGCATGTTTTATGGCAGTGGCGGCTGGCGGACCTCGTCCTTGATGAAACACCGCAAACAAAATCCAGCGAAAAAAATCGTTAAAAAAGCCTCTTAATGCCACGAGAAAAAGTCTAACAGCGTGATATCTGCAGACTTCTTGTAAGATGTTTTCACTGGACATTTTCTTCTGGGGCATCATCAGGGACGAGATCTGCCAGCCGCCACTGCCATCAAACAAGCCAGCACTGAAGGAAAGGATCACTGAGGCCAATGCCAGAGTTTCACCGGACATAATGCAACGGGTATAG